AACCTTAGTTTTCAAACTGGTGTTTACAGTTCGGCAAGTGTGGAGTCCTTGTTTGGAGGGATGGAGGAGAAGAAAGGTGGAAAAATGTGAGAGCTCAAGGGAGAAGAAAGGAAATAAAGAGAGATGGGTATCTTCTGGGTGTAGTATTCTGGCAGAAAATAGGGCTGTGGAGTGAAAGCGAGACCAGCTGTTTGGAATGAGGAGTGTGTTTTATTCATCTGTTTTTCAAGTGCCAGCTAATGTGGCTTACTGGCATATGACAAGAACTCAGCGAAGGAAGAGAGGATGGCTTGTGGAGAACTGTGTGTTTCAAAAGGCAGCTGCATATGCGGGAGATAAAGTGGAAGGAATGAATTACATTGGTTTAACTAAGTTTGAAGACATGGCTGGCTTAACCAGAGATTTAGAGTGGAAATCACTTGCACTGCTTTTAATGCCCGCGTGGGGGAGTGGTGAAACCAAAATTGACTTTTTTGTCCCCCCTCAAATATAGCTGTTGAAGTTATGTCTACTTGCTTGTTCTAAGAACAGTGTTTAAAATGTTCTGAAACAGATTATTGGTTTGATCATCTTGTTGCTTTCTTGTTCCCTTTAGTTGTAACTTTGAAAATGTTTCAGTTACTTTGTTGGATTCTTTTTTGTTATTGTATACAGTTGGCTCTGTCCAGGTCTGTGGGTTCCACATCTGTGGATTTCAACCAACCACCAATGAAAATATTCAGGGGTGGGGGAAAACTTGTATCTGTACTGAACTTGTGCAGACTTTTTTCTTGTTATTATCTTAATACAGTTTAACAACTATTTACATAACATTTACATTGTATATTATAAATAATCTAGAGATGATTTAAAATATATGGCAGAATGTAGGGGTAATTTGCAGATACCATGCCATTTATAATCAAGGACTTGAGAGGATTGTGGTATCCGAGGGAAGTCCTGGAACCAGTCTCCTGTGGATACTGAGGGGTGACTGTGTCTGATGTAAAAATGTGTGAAGGGTTCAAACTGGGCATATTCTAGGAGACAATGGACACACTAGGGGTTTCTTTTTTTCTTTTCTTTTCTTTATTTATTTATTTGAGACTGAGGCTTAGTACGTCACCCTTGGTAGAGTACCGTGGTGTCACAGCTCACAGCAACCTCCAACTCTTGGGCCTAAGTGATTCTCTTGTCTTAGCCTCCTGAGTAGCTGTGACTACAGGTGCCCCCCACAACGCCCAGCTAGTTTTTGGTTGCAGTTGTCATTGTTTATCAGGACTGGGCCAGGTTTAAATATGCCAGCCTCTGTGTATGTGGCCACTGCCCTATTCACTGAACTACAGGTGCCGAGCCTCTTTCTTTCTTTCTTTCTTTTTTTGAGCAAGAAGGCTTGACTGCTGGTATCCTAGTTCATGACTACATTTTCTTTCTTGAACTGCTGTGCTTGTTGCTTCTGCAGAAGTAGCAGCCTTGACCATGACTACCCGTGTCTGATGTACCCTCCTCTGTGGCTTCGCTTTATTTATTTATTTATTTATTTTGAGGCAGAATCTCTCTCTGTTGCACAGGCTAGAGTGCTGTGGCCTTAGATTGGCTCACAGAAACTTCTGGGGTTAAGCTATTCTCCTGCCTCAGCCTCCCAAGTAGGTGGGACTACAGGTACCTGCCATTATGCCCGGCTAATTTTCTGTTTTTACTGGAGTTTTTAGTAGAGATGAGGTCTCCCTCTTGCTCAGATTGGTTTCAAACTCCTGAGCCCAAGGGCTTCGTCTGCCTTAGCCTTCCAGAGGATTATAGGATTATAGCTGTGCTGGCCTGTGGCTGCACTTTAGTTAAAGGCAAGCCCTTTGCATAAGTTGGAAATGGCATTTCTCTTCAGAAGTAATAGTTGTTCCTTGGCATCCATGGGAGATTGGTTACAGGACCTCCATGGTTAGAAAAACCGGAGGATGCTTAAGTCCTTTACAATTGGCCCTCTGTATCTGCAGTTTTCACATCCTCAAGATAACGGGGATAACTGTATTTAATATATTTTTACCAATGGCTTCATGCAGGCTGCACTGAAATTCATTTAGCAGGAGTTTATTAAGTGTCCCAACTTTGTGAATTGTGATCTTTTTACTTCCCAATTTTACTCAGACACCGAGGATGCTAGTGAAACTGACCTGGCAAAGCATGACGAAGAAGACTATGTAGAAATGAAGGAACAGTGAGTAGAATTTTTGTGTTTGTTTTCTGGAATATGTAATTGACAACAAAATCTTAATACAGATTGAGCATTCCAAATCCAAAAATTAGGAACCTGAAATGCTCCAAGTTCCAAAACTTT